TTTAGGTTCTATGGTGATGGGAGAGCCTCATATGTTGACCTGAAACTGATCCTACTCTCTTCCATTGACCAAAGGTATTGCCAGCCCATCTTGCGTTGTTCCACACTCTCCCATCTCATCCACTCTCCCTGCTTGGCCTGGTAAATGGCCTTTATACACCTCATCCTCTACTCCTGCTTTCGCACCTCGTTGACTACCAGCTTCCTCCTTTGAGCTGGGCCTGCCTTGTGCCATTTAGGACGAGCTAAACTGAGCCCAAAACCCCCTGTTCATCATCAACATTTATTCTTTATTGTATACATATATTTCTCATGCATGTTCTTATAAATTAGATTGTACAGTATGTTCACACATATATACACACATTCACGGAATGAGTTACAACAGATTTCTAGTTCTCAGCATCCTTTGCTTCTAACTGTTAAAGGAGGGCAAATGTTAAAATGAAGTTTAATATTAATTTGTTTTGCTCAATATTAATATAGGGAGAGATCTGTTAGTGTTTAATGTTCTATTATTTTGAAGTTTAAAAAGATTTCTGGTAGTGTGAGTTTTTGGGGTTACCATTACCAACCTGAAATCACCTAAATTGTGGGGACCAGCCAGCGGTCCCCATGAGGAAAACAGCGTATAAATCATACTAAGTAATGTTTTTTTGTTTTGTTTTTTTGAAAATGTAAAAATGCAGAATGTTTCCTGTGAGGGGTAGGTTTAGGGATAGGGGCAGGGTAAGGGGATAGAATATACAGTAAAAACCATTACGTGTGTGTGCGTGTGTGTATGTGTGTGGAGAGAAAGGCCCCACAAGAATAAACATACTAAATGTCTTCATGAAGATCTAAAGATAATGTAAGAGTTAAGTTATTGGCTAAGGGATAGATTAAGTCATTAGCTCTATATAAAAACAATAGGCGTTAATGGGAAGGGAATTGGGCCTTATACAGCGATAGTAATTGCAGTGTTGCAGTGGGAGTCAGATCAGATGATATTCTAGATGACTTTCTCAGGTCTTTAGGTGAAGAGGTTTTGTGCATGAAAGGGAGAGAGACTCATTTGTGTTTTTCTCTGCTCAGGTGCACGTGTGAGGAGCCTCCCCTTCTGATTATCCACTTCCTCCTGTAACATCCTTTTTCCTTCTCTCTAACCTTTTTCTAACCCTCTCTGACACCCTCTATCCATCTCATACCCTCACCTGACCTCTCTTCCTTTGTCTGAAATCGCTGATTTCTATTTCCTCTCCTTTCTTCTCCACTTTACCAACCTCCAGTGAGTATAACTGTAATTGTACTTTCTTTAAATACATTGGCATGCTAAATAGATGAATGATGAGTACAGGGGTGAGCGCGTGCTCATGTCCAGAATAATGGATTTACTTTGTGTGTGTGGTTCAGGTATACCCTACGTTGTGAGGACCAAATGTCTCCACAAAGACAGAAATTGTCTGGACATTTTTCTGGTCCCCTTGAAGAAAACAGCATACAAATTATACTAAATTATGCTGTTTCGGAAATGTAAAAATATATATATTTGTGTGCACAATAATTATGCCTATGGAAAGTCCCCTTAAATGTGTGTGTGTGTGTATACTAGTTTGACCTACATTATAAGGACCCAAAGTCCTTATAGTGTGGTGGGTATTGTGGTGGGTATGTGGTGGGTATTATGAGGACATGGCGATGACCTTATAATTCAAAACACTAAATAAACATACAAAAAAGTACAAGATACACGATGAAACGATAGAATCTTCCTTCCTGATGCTCATTGTCGTTTACAAATCACCACAATACCCTATGTTAAATGGATTGTGCCAAAATCAGACTGATATTGTGTAGTCTAGACCCGGCATTGGGTTTAAGGGGTGTAGTAAATCGCATTAGTATGAAAACCATTGCGTCTACGAGACCTCAGTAATATATGTTATGTTTTAAGTTGAATCATGCAGTACACAGGCATACAATCTCATTATCAATGTGAATTCATCAAATGAAGTTTGTTGTGTATGGGTTTTTGCTTCTCTTGGTGTCAAATATCAACAGGATTTCAAAGGGAATAGCTACTTAAAATACTTTTCACATATGTGGACTTCACACACACTAAATACCTCTTCGACAATTAAATATCTACACATAGTCACACATTACCATGATCAGAAGCAAGACTAATGTTCTCCCTCAGTGAGATTTAAATGTTTAATCTGAAGTCACAATATATCAGTAGCAGCCTTATCCACAGCTTCTGTGGCTCAACAAGTGCAAAATTGAATAACGAGATTTTGTAGTATGAGTAAATTAAGCTTATTCATTATTGATGCTATGGTATTTTACTTAAGGTTATATTGTTATTATTAAATGGCTAGTGCGACATTTCATCAAAATTCTACACCGCTATTCAATATCTAATATTCACAAGATTTATCAGGGCTTTTTACATTTACAAACACACACTCACACTGAAAGTCATTGCAATATTAGATGGGAGAGGCATACGTTATTGAAAAACATTGCAAATGAAATGACTTGGCTTTGGACACCCACAGGGAAGATGAGTCAATGTGAGGACCCTGAAATGAGGAGATGAGTGCTCTCTGGAAAGATGTGGGGGAGGAGATGTGATAGCGCTTGGTCGGGGGCTAGATGGGATTGCTGATGTGATCATATGCTAATTAGGGGAAGGAGAGAAAGTAGAGAAACAGAAAATTCTTACACTAGCAGCCAAGGTCCAAGATCAAATGACAGTAGCTTTACTTGTGAAGTTACACTGGAAATGTTGGATTGTATGTGTATTTATTAGTCTGTACTACTTTTTATTCGTAGGATTAGGGATTTGAACACCTTGTGTTGCGGATTGAGGGAAAGTTCAGTATTACTTACACTAACAGATCAGACTCAATTTTGATAAAACAGATGAAAAACATCCAATAGACTTACAATGAAGGCTGCTCTCAACTTGTACAGTATCTAGGGAGCCGAAAATCATAGAGACTTGGGGGTGGGCTCTTTAAATTTGAAACAATAACCAATCACTGACCAGACACCTAGCAACTGCATAGCAACACATCAAAAACCACTCCATACACATTAGAAACTGCATAGCAAAACCCTGACAACCACCCATGAGCACTGTGGCGACGTTTGCATTTAAAATGTTTAAATCTAACTTAAGTGGCTTTTACGTGTGTTTAATAAGTATGAGTGAGAGAAAGAGAAAGATAGTCTTATGTTGTGCTTTCTCTGTCCTATGCTGAGTGACTGCATTGCAGTTATTTTTAGTAGAGCCATCAATACAAGAACCTGCAGCTCTGTCTCCCATTTTCTCTCTCTCCCTCTCTTTTCTCTCTCCCCTCTCTTTCTCTACTTAATTTACCCAGCAGGGGAACTGTGGGACAGAGATAAGTACACACACACATAGGCAGAATGTAGACTGTGTCTTAAAGAATTGTGCATGAGCTCTTATTGATGATTCAGCATTGTACACTACACACAAGCCAAACTCATCTTCCCACTGCGATTTCCATATAACTGTGCATTTAAAAATCAATGATCAATTAATATCACTATGTATCTTTTTATTTTGGCTGTGTGTGTCACATCACATAGTAACTATGGGGATTCACTCTCTTTCACTTTGATTTGTTCACTTATTTGTTCAGCAAAGTCACTTGTTAAAGGGAATTTCTGTCAGTAATTACCCTCATGTTGTTCCCACCCTGTAAGATTTTCGTTTCATCTTCGGAACACAGTTTAGAAGTTTATCAAGTGACGAGAATACTTTTTGTGCACAAAAAACAACAACAAAAATAGCGACTTTATTCAACTATTCATTTCCTTCTCTGTTGGCCTCGAGATAGTTCACGTAATGTAACTGCGCAGCACTTCTGTGTTGTACGGCACATATAGGCTCACTATTGGTGGTGGCTTATAAGTGTAAGTGTACACTACGTAAACTAGGCCCACAGAGAAGGAAATGAATAGTTGAATAAAGTCGTTATTTTTGTTTGTTTTTTTGCCCACAGAACTTTTCTGGACCGGCAATTTCGATCCCTTAGAAGCCTATGAACGACCGATCCAGCTCTCAGATTTAATCAAAAATATCTTAATTTGTGTTCCGAAGATGAACAAAAGTTTTATGGTGTTGGAACAACATGAGGGTGAGTAATTGACAGAATTTTCATTTTTGGGTGAACTATCCCCATTAATGTAAATCACTAAAACATTTACTCAGCTGATTCAAAACAATAAGTCATCTTATCAGAATTTATTAATATTGCATGATTTTACTTCATCAAGTAAGAGACTATAAAGTGCCATGTACAAGAATCTTGAACAGTTTACCCACATTTGACAAGCTGATCTATCATATTTATTTTATATTGTCCTCTACTTTCTGCTCATGACATTTATCAAGCTATAAAAAAAGACAACAAAAGCTTACAAATATGTATATACATTTTTTATTATTATTATTTATAGTTTATATTACATCCTTAGATTACTTTTACATTATTATTAATGATCTATTAATATTTTGAATTAGCTTTTAATTTTACATTTTAGTCATTTTATTTTGCAGAAATATTTCTTTGTAACTTTATATTTATTTCAGTTTTCGTTTTAGTAATTTTAGTACTTAACTTAATTTGCCAAAGTAACATATCAAATTTTTTCTTTTAATTTGTTTTAATATATTGTAATTAACAAAATCTATTTTTAATAGCGATAACATGACTTGCAATTCTTTTACAATTCTTCCACATCTTTTTTCCTTGTGAGCTAGGAACACGCTCAGGCAGGAAGCAGATTGAATGAAAACAATGCTTTCATGTAAAATATTATTAAAAAGCTTATATTTGTTTTCAAATTGGACTGCTTCATTGTGCTTGGTTAGGACAAAATGTACTTTAAAAAATGTTACGGTATTCTGTGTCAGTAACTTTATGCCAAAATTCTACCCAGACAAGTCGATCGACTTACAAAATTTGCTTAATTTTGTGTCCACAGGTATAAACAAATCATCCCTAAACTGGACCCACCTCCTCAGCCCCTGAACCGCAAGCGGTCGAACAGGACTCTCTCTCCGGGTGTAGAGGCAGAGTCAAGATCTTCAGCGCCTGTAAATGGGAACGTATTCACAAACGTGAGCGGTAGCTCCTCATTTCCTGACATCACGCTGTGTTCTCCGGGGGATTTCTATTCTCACACCAACGGCAACAGTGTGTCATGTTCAGCCAGTGAGGATTCTGGCGTGCGCTCCAATGACAAATCCCTTGTATCCCCCCAATCCAGAGACGACCCCTCTGATGACCAGAGCTCTGCGTTCATCTCCACATCCAGTACCTGCAGCAGCTTACCTGATGATCATACAGCTGTGGATGGTGGGACCACACTGCTAAGCTATGAGCAAACCATCCCATTCTCTTCACCTATGAATGACACCTGCCTTCATATAAGCCTGAGTGAAGATGAGTTTCTGGAGGACGGCACCTATAATGTCACCACCCCATGCAGTTAGAGTTGGAGTCTCACACCAAATCCGAGGGAAATCACAATTATAATGACAGAACAAAAAAAGGAGGATTTTTTTTTTGTTTCCTAATATCAAATTTTACTTTACCTACAATGCCCTAAAATGATTTCATCTCTAAGATTTGCTAAAAGAAGATTTAGTATGGTACATAGACTACTATTGACAGATGGATAGTGTATTTTTTAGACTGAAAATAAATAGTTATTTTTAGCCAATAAACAAGCAACAAATGAAGTGCATTGGAACTGGTGCTATTAGTGCTGCCAATTTGTTTGTGTTTTTTAATATTATAAGTTCAGGTCCAATGTTTTTTGTGCAAATTGATTTATATATTGTTTGGATGTTTACGAGCAGTTATGTAGCAAAGAATCTCAGATGTTACATAAGGCTGGTGGCTGGTGAAGGAACATAGAAAATGAAGAAATTGAGGTGGAAAAATGTATTTTGTTGCAGGATTCACAAACTGCCTATTTTGTTTCATGTTTCAAGATGTGTAAATGAATAACTAAGACAGCTTAAGTGATAGATGAAGAAAAAAAAGACATTTTGAAGGGCAAACCTCCTTTCTGATTCTGAGGCTTCACCAATCAAGGTAAAATGAGGGATCATTATCACTTTTTGCAGGTGGAAAGGCTGCAAAGGAAAAGCAAAGGGAGAGAATAGAGGTGTTGCATTACCAATAGATAATATTCACATCCTATGAATGTGTAGATGCTTCACAGATCTCACTGCTTTTCTCAGTTATCTAGTGTCAAACTGTTTTCCTTATGAGACCTTTAATAAACCACTAGATCATCTGCTTAGGAACTTAAAAACAAAACCGAGACTTAAAGCAAGTGTTTCTGATCATCCCCACGAGTCTGTTCAACTCTGAATACTTTTTTTTTTTATTGAATCTGTATCTCATCTAATTCAAATAGAAAAGGTATTATACATATATATTGACTCCAGATTATGGTTAGCTTTATTTTATACAGACTGGAACACTCAAAACTTCTATGACCTGAAACTGTGGAATAAGCGTGCCACTTAATGAAAAACAAACGGTTTTGTATTGTTTCACAATGAGACACGCACCGCACAGAGCCGTGGATCACACAAAACTTTAATGTATCGGGGTGAATGATAATGAAAAGAGGCAGATTAGAGGAAGGTTGAACAGAAGGATGAACAGTAGGGATTTGTGTCATTATGAAAGCAATGTTGAGCAGGTGCTTTTTGCTGATATGGGTTAGCATGACACCTCGAGAAGCAAGGGGAAGGAAAGAGAAAGGGAAAAGATGTTAGTAAAGGAGATGGAAAAGAGAAAATGAATGGTGTTTTTAAATGTATTGTTCAAATAAATACATTGTTATTGCTGTTATGGCAGAAAAAGAGATGAATGAATAAAGTGGTATTTTTGTTTTTGGACCAAAATGTAATCTTCATTTATTTATAAGTTTTGCTAAATTAGTGGAAAATAAGTTCAAAATAAGTTTACTTTTTTTAAAAAAATATGTATGTGTAAAATATTTAACACAGACCAAAACTTTACTAATCTGAGAATTAGGATATTTAATATTACTAAATAATCCCTAGCAAAGCAAAGCTGTTCAAAGCAAAATGCTTGAGTAGATCATTTTACTCCTTGCTGACAGCATGGTTTTTTTGTTGTTTTTTTTAATCAGTATTCATCTTTTTTCAACAATATGATATTCAATTTTTTCTTACTGTCTATCAATCTGGCTGTGTGGCTAATTTATGAGCTCCAATATTTCAGATGTGCATGTGCATATAGCAGCTTCCACCATTTTACTCTTTAAAAACATGATCTTAAAGCTGTATCTAAATTTTTTTATTTTATTTTTTTCATAAATGAGAAATGAAAAGAAAACAAGAAAAGAAAATGTTTTCTTTTCAGCCTCATGTTATAGGCTGTGGGAATCTCCCAATTTCCCATTCCACTTACGGCAGAGAGAGGGGGATCACGTTTGTACAGGATACTTATTTCACAAGTAGCACAGGATATTCCTCATACTTCATTCTCTTTGAGAGAGTAAGTGGGCAGAGAGAATGATAATAAAGGATAAATGCATGAAGGAGAGGGAGACTCTTCAGTCCAATCGATATTTAAGTTCATGTGAGACTCTCACTATTGCAATTATATGCAATTTTAGGCCCATGACTGCTGCACTATATACGGATACTCTAGTCTAGAGTCTCTCACTTAACCAAATGGCTGCACTCAGGATAGTTCCTGAAAGAGATATTTTCCTACAAGTATTTATTGTATTTAATCTGTAATCTAGATTAATATGTCAGACATTTTACAATATCCTGAGAAAATAAGCAAATACAATAGGGTGACCATGTTTTGATTACCAAAAAACCAGGAAACTTGGCCCGGCAAACAGATACTCAATGATACTCAAAGTTTACTCAAAGATGCCTTATTAATTTCAATTTAAAGTATGGTTAGAAAATTGTTGTATTACAAGACACAAATTCAGATAGGCTTCTCAGAGGTGACTCTGAGGTTAACATGTTTTATTATATATTTATATATTTAGTTTTCTTCCTCTTTATCATGTTTTTCTTCCTCATCCTCCTTGTTTGACTATCTATATTTTGCTGTAGAGCTGATCTTTCCCAGCAGTTTTTTTGAAAACCAGGACATTTTCACCATTTTATAAAAAAAAAAAAACATATAGATTAAATAGGTAGAAAAACGTTGGCCAAAAAGATGTGTTTTCTAAGCTAAATAATAAAGAATTCAGTATTAAGAGATATGCATGCATTTTGCAGAGGCATATTACACAGTTACACAGTTGTGTAAATGATTACACATCATTTCTGATAACATATGCATCTATATATTTTGAAGTATTACTGAATATAAAATTACATACATTATGAATACATTGTCACATATTTTTATAAGCAACAATTATATTATATTATATAATTATATTATAAGCAACAACTCCGCTTTATTCAATATAATATATTAACACAATATATTATTCTGTATATTTTCAAATATACTGTACTGTTAAATCATTTAATATATTGTTAGGGAAATATATTTTCTTTTCATAAGGGGGGTAAGGCCACAGAAAATATCATTAACCTTATATAAAATCAGTGGAAGTCTATATAATTATATAATATATTATATATTAATATAATGAAACAAAAACAAATATGCACATTAAAGCACAGGCTTAGAGCTACTGCCCCCAGATGGCACAGCATAGATAACACAAATGTTTTCATATTGTTTCTGAGGTTCTCATAGGACATGCTGTGCATGCAAACTGTTAAAAGTATTTTATTACATGTGGAATTCAGTGTTATGATATTTCTAAATGTGCCTGTATTAACAAATGACTCAGAGTTGATGTAATAGTGAATTATTGTTGTTTATTTCTGATTTAATTTACTCTACAAGCTTTTCCCTTTCTGCAACACAAATCAATCTAAATGAGGACAGAGAGTCTGGCTTTCTTAATAAGCTCTATTGACCTGCAGACTCTCATCAGTGATCCAGTCAATTGTAAACGCACACGCACACACACACACACACACACACACACACACACACACACACACACACACACACACACACACACACACACACACACACACACACACACACACACACACACACACACACACACACACACACACACACACACACACACACACACACACACTACTACTATTAGCAGTTTTTTATATATATATATATATATATATATATAAAACAATTATTTCTTGTTTTATATATATATATATATATATATAAAACAAGAAATAATTGTTCAAAAAGTTGTACTGTTTTTGAAATGGTAAGAGATACATGAACGCATACACATACATATTCACTGAATTGTATTTCCAGTGGTAGAAAATAAACATCTTCTCCAAATAGCATTTTGACCATACATTTTTTAATGCATTTATTTATTTATTTATTTTTTCCAAAGGGATCTAATCACTGGTATGATCCTTTACGTAATCAGATCCGTTCATGTCTTACATTGTTTTCTGCTGTTTTGATCCATCTCTATCAATAATTGGCATTATTTGTCAGCTTTTTATATAAAAATAAAAAAAGCCATTTTTGTGTGCACTGAAACACAAATTCAGTGAAATTTTAAAGAAGCACAGTCTCTTTTTCTCCTTCAAACATCTTACACAGTTCCGTAAACATAAAACATGCATCTATATGGGACATTGTGACCTCTTTCCAATTATGGATTGCTCTCTCTCTATATATACATTGATCTGAATGAGGGTGTCAGCTGTGCCTAACTGTGTCTTCCTTTCCAGATGACCGTCTTTGCTTTTCAAGGCTTTGCCATCTTGTTTTCATAATAGCCACTTACCACTCCAAATATGGTTCTGGGTAAGAAAATGCAAGAACCAGTGTCTGGACCAAAAGCTTGTTTTTGTTAAGAGGTTGAGCAGATCAATACCACCCATGAAGAGGCTCTCCTCACAATAGATTCCCACAGTGATGGATTTGCCCCAGCATTTAACCCTATTTTTCTCCCTATTTATATGTCTACTATTAGTTTGATATATTTTTTTTTTATCAAATTTAAGATTTTGTGAAATTCCATATGGAGGCCTGATATTGCATTTTTGTCATTTTCCTAAAATTGTTATAGTATTTAATATACATACTGTAATTATGCGTTGTTATACCATAATATCCTATAGAATTAAATAAAACTGTGTTGGTTATTTGGGGATATTATAATATTTATATCATAGAACATTTGAGTTTGGGTATACAGCTCAAATACGGTATACTTTCATAAGGACAAGTGGATGCAACAATTAAATTTGATGTTGGCTGGCTGAGAGATTTAAAATAAAAGTGTATTTTAAGATGTATGAATAATGTGACATTTGCAGTGTAAATACAATTAATGGCTTATAATAATAATAAAATCATTCTTTTTTTAAATGGTCAATCTTGTCAAAAAAGTAGCCTACTCCGCGTAGAAAGTGGAAGATAGTGTTTGTTTCTGCAACTAGTCCATCTTTTCACCACAATCAATACAACACTCAAAAAACGAACGAGGAAAGTTGTGCACTTTACATAATATATTTATATTATTTTACTTATAATAACTGTGTTTTTTGACTTGAAATGTTTTTTCCTGCTAAGGTCTACGTAATTATGTCTCAACTTAGTACAAAACACAAACCATTTGTGTGAAGTAAAAAAATCTTAGATCCAGAGGGTGGCAGTATAGTGCGAGCCAACTGCCTTTTTACACGAACTTAATTTGATTGTGTCCAATCTGCTTAAATATATATGTAACATTTAAGTTTACTTAATCCGCTTGTGTTGGATTACATGATTGATTTGCGTTGCATTAACTGGGCGGTGCTTGCTAGTTCCCAGGTGTTTTGCATATGGTTGAATTAAGAGAGAATAAATGTTAAAATTAAGTGTTATTTTAATTTTTTTTTTTTTTGAGGAATTGGGAAAGGGGAAGACTTGATAGTGTGTAATTGTGTTTAATGTGCAATTACATTGGAAGTATTAGAGCCATTTAAATTCGTGTGGGTTATTGTGGAGAAAAGTGGAGCATATTGTTTGGCTGTGGACTGATTTGTTTGGTTGAATGAGCATGTTAATCTTAGTATTTAATATGCTAATATGTGCTAGCAAATAGCTAACTAGTCTAGCAGTTTAATTATGTGTCACTAAAATAAATGAAATATTAATGGATTAATGATTATACAACATTCCTGAATCATGTCAGTAATCCTTTAAAAAATCACTTTGAGACTACTTTAATAGGGTCGCTTAAAATGACTTAATTCAAAGATGTTGAAGTTACATGAACAAATTATGTTTGTTTAACGTAACCCAGTTATGTGGAACCTTTTGACGAAAAAAAATTAATTAAACCAACATATTTTTTTTTTTTAATGAATGACAGCAATGAGGCAGAGAGAACAATTAATAGTGAGCTAACATTGCATGTACTCTCTTGTTTTTTTTCTATTTTTTTATTATTATTTCTACAATCAATTAAGTATTCACCAACGAAAATAATCAGCCCATTCTCACTCCCAAGGCGTCACCTAACTGACGCCTTGGGAAGTATTTGGACATGCTTCAATATCTGACGCTTTAGGCGCCCTTTAGCGTCAGTTAGATGACGCCCTAGGATCGCGTGTACCCTACCCCCACCCCACACCTAAACCTAACCGCGTCCTCTAACTGACGCTTTCCTTTAGCGTCAGTTAGATGACGCCGTAGGATCGCGTCATGTAAGTGACGCTAAAGGGCGCCTAAAACGTCAAATATTGAAGCATGGTCAAAGGTGACGCCTTGGGGTGAGAATGCGTTGAAATAATAGTGCTTCTTCACCAGAGTGCTTTTGTGTATGACCAACCTTCAG